TGGTCGGCAGTGTTGGATTGGATCGGAGCAATTTCAAGACATCCTATTCAGCTGAGCTATGCCCTGACTTCCATAAATACTACGAAAGGTCATTATTTATATAAAGACATGGGTATTTAATCATTATTTAGTATGCATTCAACTTCAAAGGAACTCAAGTTCAGATATACAGCATTTGTAAAGGAATATTTCGATATGGCACCAGATGACGAAAAGCTGTTACCACGATGTCGACAATGGCATAAGGAAGGTCAACTGCGAGGGCTGTCAAAGGTTCGTAAATGCTAAATCAGTAGAGCCCGGCGCTTTACGTTATCAGCTTCCAATCAATTACTATTTGGAGTCGTAAATGGTTTATGTGAGTGTTGGGATTAAGAGTGGCTTGCAAGAGATGTTTGAAACAAAATTTTTGTCAATACTTAATTGTAAGCCATTTGCGAGGCTAAGTGCATATTCAAACGCTCTTACGGTTCTGTGTAGCGGTCAAGTGCGTAGCTCCTCCCGGAACAGGATCAAACTTTGCGCCAGGCGCTTTCTTCCCCTTTGCTACATGCTCTACTTTGATTATGTGGTCGAATTTACTCGGACAATGAGTATTTTCAGGAAGCAAACGATCAGCATTTGAAGACGCGGATCCCAGATTCGGACTACGCTGAAATCCTCAAGGGTTACTTCCCACGTGTGAAGAAGCTTGTTTCGACGGCGTCACCAAAATATGGAGCGATTATAGCCAAATTGTTATCGCATCAATTTGAAGTAGGTAGAACATGCTGGGCGACTCGGAGGGAGGCCAAAAAAATTCAACATAGACGATGCCGACCGTGTCCGCGAGCGGTTGCGATGCGGCTCGCATGTACAGTTTGCCGGGCCGCTGCGCGACCGCTCGCGAATGTAGTCGGCGATTGCGCCACTTTTTTTCCTTGATTCCGATACTATTGAAAGGAGGGAGTGTAGTCTTTTTGTCCCTCTTGTTTTGTTTTTGAGTCTAAATTTTGAGACGATCAGCAGTCATCCATATCTGCACATGGCTGCAGCTGCCTACTGGCGCCAAAATGGAGATCTGCAAGAAGCGTTCAGTTGTTACAAAACAGCGGTGGCATATGCGTGGGTTCTGTTTTACATTGCTGATTTATTTACCTTCGTATCTTTGCTGGATACATACTTTGAAATTACTTTTGTTCAATCTACTCCTCTGGACTTTTAGAGAGAAACTGCTATCCGAAGGTGGAGAGGGCGGTCAACTCAGTCTAGATGCTATTCATGTAGCTGTAGCCACATTGTTCAACAAAATTGATCAACCTGAATCGGCGATGGCTATTCTGGAGGTAAGACTGCGATGTAAGGAGATTCGTGGGTGGGTAAGATTCCAGTGTCGGGAATCGATCAATTCCTGTCGAATGCGCCGTGCATTTGAGTCGCATCCCGAAACGTCATAACATTTGTCAGAGAATGGGCTTTTCAAATTGAGGCTTCGATACTTGCATTGATATTTCTTGAATTCATCTTTGTTCACGGATTATTTACTTGTTTACATAAATGTTGTTTTTTCAGTATTCTTTTACGAAGGACGATCCAAACAGCTATAACCCTTGCGTATTTTTGAAAGCACAAGCAGCCATGGCCGATGCTGCCTATCTGAAGTTAGACGCTTCACGGATTGAAGGCATCCAAGTCGAGCAAGTAGCTGACTTTGCTCGTATTGTCGCCTACTTCTCTGATCCATTCATTAAGCAACTGGTAAACTAACCCTACTTTGACAGCACTCAATTCCTTTGGTGAATAAACTTCATTTGCAGCTTGTCCCACCCACCGATTCGAATTATGTGGCGGAGTTGTTGAAATTCCATGAGGTTCTGCTGAAGAAACTGGGCGCGATGAGCTGTCAGATAGATCTGTTTGTTGAGCTAGCGAAGCAGAAGGTTAGGTCTTTTTTTGCTAGCATATTTTTATCCTTTTCAAGAACCTTCTGCTCCTTTCGTTGTGACTAGCTGAGGTTTGATGAAGCCAGCCAACAACCACCAATTTAAATGAGAGGCCTCACCAGCGAATGGCTCACACTAAAGGGTTGGAACATGTACTACTAAAAGTGGAAAAAAATATCATTCCTTGGATTCACAGGTAGCACCCAAGTAGCCTCGTCCAGGAGAATGGAGGAACCTACTCTCTTAGTTTCTTTCTCCTTTACTGCAACCTTCCTCCTTCAAAACTGTGTTGCATAAACCTTCATCTTCCCTTCTCACAGTTTCTTTTCGAATCTCTATGTTGTAGGTTGACCCTTCTTCGAGCAGAACTCGATACCGCTCAGAATGCTGTCTGAACTCATTCAAGGGCGTATTCGGGTCATGCAATGCGTTGGAACCCAACAGTTGCTTTAATCGCTTTTTCTGAATGATCGGTACCAAATAACTAACCGAGTCAGCCTGGGAAGCTGACTGTTTCGCCGGATCCTGCTCCCATGATCGTAAAATCACTTCCTTTTGTCGTTGACCCTTCTCAACTTGGGCTGTTTCCCTCGGAGGCTGTATAACACATTCGCTGTCTCACGTTGCTTGTAAAGAACATGATGTTAGGGTTTGGCAGTTCAGTTTGCATCGGATTAACTCATGGCTTCAGAAAACAACCGGGTTTCTACGCCTACCATACTCCATACTGTATCTTTTCCCTGAGAGACGGTTCACCAATAGGAACTGCTGAAGGCTCCGGGATACCCATCCTCGTGTCGAAGATGTCCATCAGTAGAGGAAGGTGTTCGCGATATTTTTCTTTTAGGAAAACTTGGACCATCTGGTTTCTGAGAAGTTGCGCTTCAATGATATGTACGGAGATCAGGTGAGATTTACAGAGAAATTATATTGGTCAGTTTCCATCTGTTAATAAGCTGAATAAGTTATTTAGTTAAAAATTAAGTAATAATTAAAAGAGAGCGGAGCAAAAATAGTTTTTCTTAACAAAGACGTACAAATCGCATACTTTTAATAAAATGGGAATAGATGGTTATGGTGAAGTAATTCAGATGAAAATAGCGGATCAAATACGTGAGAGAATGGTGAACGAGAGAACACGACGATCTCTAACATTGGGATACGAGGAGGTNTATGGAGCGATTATAGCCAAATTGTTATCGCATCAATTCGAAGTACGTGGTATTTGCCTACTGCTGAGCGATTCGTAGAGAGGCGAAAAAATACAATGTAAACGAAGCCGACCGTGAACTATACCCGCGAGCGGCCGCGGCGCGGCTCGCATGTACAGTTTGCCGGGCCGCTGCGCAACCGCTCGCGAATGTAGTCGGCGATTGTGTCACTTCTTTCCTCGATTCCGATACTATTGAAAGGAGGGAGTGTAGTCTTTTTGCCCCTCTTGTTTTTATTTGAGTCTAAATTTTCAGACGATCAGCAGTCATCCATATCTGCACATGGCTGCAGCTGCCTACTNTTTGGCTGATCGTATCATGGAGGACATAGAGATTGCACAGCGTATTCGATCGATGCTGGAAAACGTGAGTCTTCCCGAAATATGGGAATTCAACTAGGCAGTGAAGCGTGCGGCTGCGTTGCGGCACGTTGGTTGACTGTGAAGGGCACACTGTTTTCGGACCGATGGTTTTTTTCAAAAAAGACAGTTGAAAGAAGCAGAAACAAGGTACGACAACCGTTCCGTGGCNAGTCTAGTTTTCAAGTACAAATAGCGAACTATTGGCATAATGAATAACGATGAGATGCGAGAAGGGAATGCATGCAGATGAGATGAGATTAGTTATGGACGACTAGGTGTCTTATATTGACTATATGATTGCTATAACAGGGGTAATGGTGTACAGCGGAAGTATTCTCATTTAGTCGCAATCATAGATGGGTGTTATACCTTCTATGATTTGTATACGGGAATGCAGGAACATTCCTGCAATGAGACCGTAAAGGTATTCAGACGTCTTCTACAACACAGTGCGAATTAGGTCTTCAGATGAGGTTCTGAATTGGAATTGATATAATTATAATTTGTATGTGGATGAGATGGTGCACTGGCAATTGGCAAAATCATTGTATAGGCCGTTTAGACCATTTATAGGATAAGCCCCTTCCATTAAAGCCGTCACTACGATTTTGAATGGAAGAAGCGCATCCCATAAATGGGATTGATTAATGCCGGAGACTTTAATCCTTCACAATTTGTATTTTGTTGTTGAAATTCCAGAAAAGGCTATGCCTGGTTTTATTTTTGATAATAAATAGTGTACTTAACTTTTTTTTACTGAATTATGTCATTGAAATCTTAACACTGCACTAATTTTCAGATAGAATATGTCGAGTGATTAATGCCAAGCGATTTCCACGGTCAAACCATCCAAACAATCTAGTACCGACTTATCATTGTGAAGTTACCGATCCAGTGGCATATGAAGAATCCATGATGCCATTGAGGAAGGCAACGACGAAAAATAGGCCCCCGGTGAGTGGATTCCCAAAGAAAGTCATGTAAGGAGTAAAATGTTCAAAGTTGTCCTATCCCGTTGCCAATTCTGTTACTTTTTTTTTGCTTTTGAGTTCTTTTCTTTTATGTTAAAGTACGGTTAGGCAAGGGAAGATTAGAGGGATCGTCAAGAGCAGGATCGTGGAAAAGTGCCAATAAGACCATGACCTCGTTTTCAGTGGTTGAATTCAGAGGGGATACTTCAGACCACCACCACCTCCATTTTCCAACCTGGCACCGTCCTCCTTGTAAATGTGGTGAAAGTGATTGTTTAGAAATGTCGGTCATTACATACTCCAAATACGCATTCGGAAACTGTTTGATTATGGGTTGAAGTCGAGTGCATGGTGCGTCGGAAGAGATTCCGGAAACATCACATTCTCTACATTTTTCAAAAGTATAATACAGTATTTCAGCTGAATGACACAGCATGGCGTGTCGCGGAAGTCTTCGCAACCGACAAAGCCTTTGAAAAGAAACTGGAGTCGCTACGAGGAAAAATGCCGTTAAACCCTCAGATGCCAAAGAAGTACCCTCTCGACAGGTAACCCCGGTTTAGATCTGAACCTTCAATATCTCGCGCGTGGGATAGATTAGCCAAGGAATTGTTTCATGGGGAGGGGATTCATTGAAATGTCCACTAATCGACGAAAGAGTAGCGGTTCAGTGCTGAATCGGAAGGGTCGAACCAACCCGAAGAGTAGCGAGTAACTCGTGGAACGACTGACCAGCCTTTTGGCAAACACCATCTTCTCTAACCGGCCTGACCATGTGTTCATGTCGTGCTCATCCCACCCGCTGGATATGGGAAGTACCTTACAGCTTTCATTCGTACACAGTAACCAACAAGTTAAGTGCAACGTGGGCGACTGTACGTGATCGCTTCTGGCGTCGAGCCGATTGGCCGTCAAGCGTCGATTGCCAAATGATCATCTCACGAACGGATATTTTCAATGAGAAATGGTTCCCACAGGTGTTCATTAGTCCGGAGAATAAAGGGTTTATGTAAGTCCTGATTTTCGCTTTCCATTTTCGGTTCTGCCTGTCCGGTGTGGTGACAGACGGTGTTTCAGGATCGCTGAATATCTAACAAGAGGCATTGGGTTGGAATCCCACGAAGATCATCCGTTGCCATGGCGTGAACCGTACTGCAAAGAGGTGAACATGGTGGGACACGAGCTCAGTTTTGTGAGTTTTTTCACAGAAAATACAGATTGCCATATTATTCCTGGAGTGCGCCATGAATTTGACTCTGTTGAACTTGGGAGAAATGGGAATGGGAGTTCGCCCAAGACGAAAGCAAACTGTTCGACTGATCTCATGCATTCAACGGCCGTCTCATCGTTTTTCAGCTCACCGGACTGGTCACGGCCGTAAATACTCGTCCATCAAAGGAATATGCTGAAACTCGTCTTAAATCAGTTCTGGTGCGTTTGGCTGATCGTATCATGGAGGACATAGAGATTGCACAGCGTATTCGATCGATGCTGGAAAACGTGAGTCTTCCCGAAATATGGGAATTCAACTAGGCAGTGAAGCGTGCGGCTGCGTTGCGGCACGTTGGTTGACTGTGAAGGGCACACTGTTTTCGGACCGATGGTTTTTTTCAAAAAAGACAGTTGAAAGAAGCAGAAACAAGGTACGACAACCGTTCCGTGGCTAGCGACTGAAGTGGGGTACAGCTAATGGAATAACCGCGACGCAGCCGCTCGCGACTGTCTCAGATCACTAGACTTGGGCTCACAGAGAATAGTTTCGTATCACGCTTAACAAAAACGAATTTTCTGTCTCCTTCTAATCGTTCCACTGGCTTCCAGGACATTGGCCCAAGGTGGCTGGCGGCCAACCTGGCAGCGCTTTACTGGCGTGTTAAAGGCAATCCTAAGCAGGCTGCCTTCTGCCTTATCGAGGCGATCCTGTTGCAGGTACTCCTAATTTCAGTGCAGCTTGAAATAAGTCATCAACAATCTTCAGCCGAATTACGCTGATATCGCTTTTACTCAACTTGCACAATTGATCTTGAAAGTTACTAAACAAAAAGCTGAACCAGCGAAGCTTCTCTTGATGGCCAGCAGTGTCGATCATGATGAGGTGAGATGGTTACGTAGGAATTTATTTCGTTATGTTTTCTTTTTTATGCTGAGTAAGATGAAGTTAGTAAAGCAGTGGGTGAGCGCTTTTCAGGGAGTGAAGGGCAAACAATCAGTTAGCTTAGCATCATCTTCACAGTATTTTGTGGACGTTCCGCATGAAGTATCCCTCAAAATTGGGCCAAACTCTGGCCGTGCTTAATTTCAAATTAATCTCTCCCTCAACCTATCCTGATCTACTTTTCTCCCTCCACTTTTTTTGCTCGAAGTCCTTTGGTCCTTTGGTCATTTACGATGATGAAAATCAGGATAAATTCCTCTCCGTGTCATAGTCCACCCCGATGGTGTGTGCACAGTGTAAGGCGAAAGTTAGGTGAACCCCTTACATAGGCTTCTGAATCTGAATCTTTCTGAATAGCTGCCGAGATGTTCAGATTTTTTGTACTTTCTTCTCCCACAAAGGATTTTGTCATTCATACATATGCATTGCCGTGAAATACACCGTGAACTTCACCCACTGAGCATTTTGTCAGAGGTGCACATTGCCGTGATATAGAACGCAGTCCGGAGTTGGGGGTGACCTACATTTACCCCAAAGCTAACCCTTGGGAGGAAAGAATAATCCTGTTTTTTTTTTGACTAGTGAGCACCATCTGGAAGTGGAGGCTTTTGGAGTGTGAGCAAAAATACAGGTTATACATGGCTCTCAACATGACATGGAAGTTTCGAATTTATGTGTCCTCAATTTTCTTAAATTTAGCCAATGGTCCACTGGCTTCGTGCTCGATTGGCGTTACTGTCAAACGATGTCGATGGAGCGTTAAAGTTTCTCAAGTTATCGTTGGACAAGGACCCCTTCAATACCGTAGTTTCGGAAGATTTACTGAAAGTGGCTTGTAGTGGAAAGGTAAGTCGAATCAGACTATAAATTCCAGTGCAACTCGTATTTCTTTCAAATCAGTGACAGATTGATCAGCCCTTAAAGTGAGCACCCCTTATGATTTCTGATTATGACCTTTGACATTTGAATACAATAAATTCAAACTAATGATATAATCAGTTCTATTTGTAGCTTCGAATTGATTAATTTTTACAACTGTGTACAACTTTTACAATTTTTAAAACTGCATTGCTACAATTGTTGTGAGTGAAAAATAAAGGGAAGGTCAAAAAAAAGCTGATCACTCTAGGTCCTTTTGGAGGCATACTCCATTGCTAGAGTTCGGGATGAGACCATCCGCTCTCGACCCTTCTAATCCATTAGTGGGTCTCTCCCCCGGGTTAGCCTCCCAAGTTACTCTACTAATCAATTTATCCCTTGTCTATGGGTGATGTCCATCTGGATATCCATAGGAGAGACCTCATAGTTGGAATTCCCCCTCCCCCTTCGTTTGAGCCTACGCTTGATCGTCTGAAGGCATAGCTACACGTGCTTCATCGTAGTGTACCAGCCTGTCCGATTTTTTTTTTGATTCCTGGAATTGTCTATTTCAGTCGTCCAAGTTAGCGATCTCGTCACGATTTCCTACTGTGTGTTGCTCCTCGGTCGTCCAAAATGCTGTCTGTTTCAGAGTAAGTTGTTTTTGTTTTTTTCTGAATTTTCAATGTGCACGTTAATGAAGAACCGTATGAGAATCATTCGAATTTCTTCTGAATCTTCCGCCTTCACAGGGAATTATGGATTTTGGTTTGAAACACGCACCAGGTCATCAGTTATCTGAAAAATTAAGTGGAAATTCACTTAATGATATAAAGGTAGCTTATGGCAATAAGTGACCAGCTAGTACGCGTTTTTTT